GGTTACTTGTTCTCACTGTCAGAAAATTCCTCCTTAGTTCTAAGTTGCTTCTCTCCTTGATTAGAAAAGCAACCCCTTCTTATATATGAGGTCTATTATAGGTTTTAGAAATGGTGGGGGTGATTTTAATTATGGGGGGGGGTAAGAGGCTTGGGTTGGGGGGGGAGCTATAGTGTAGTGTATAGGTATAGGTATATGTAGTGTACATATGTGTAGTGTATATATGTAGTGTATAATAGAGTGTAGTGTGTATACTGTATAGAGATTGGGAGTCCAGTCTCTTCTTGAAAGCTTCCAGTGATGAAACTCCCACAACTTCGGAAGGCAACTTCTGTTCCATCGGTTGATTGTTCTCAGGGTCAGAAAAATTCTCCTTATTTCCAGGTTGAATCTCTCCTTGTTCAGTTTCCATCCATGATTCCTTGTCTGGCCTTCAGGTGCTTTGGAAAATAGCCTGACCCCCTTCCTCCTCTCTGTAGCAGCCCCTCAAATATTGGAAGATGCTCTCCTGTCTCCCCTGGTCCTTCTCTTCACTAGACTAGCCAGGCCCAGTTCCTGCAACCGTTCATTGTAGGTTTTAGTCTCCAGGTAGATAGATTCAGATTAACAGAGTTGGAAGGGACCTTGTAGTCATCTAGTCCACCCTCCTGCCCAAGACTGCTATCATGTCTCCCCTGGCCCTTCTCTTCACTAGACTAGCCAGGCCCAGTTCCTGCAACCGTTTAATCTTGTCAATCTGAACCTCTGCACAGCCAAACTGATTAGCACTTGGATAGGAAATCCAAGAACCGAATGTTTGGGAGGAAGGGAGTGAGAAGGAAGGAAGGAAGGAAAACTTCCATCTTATTGCTGAAAAAAATTGCAGGGATGTTTCTATGTAGAGATTCCAGAATCATCATCAGCTTGGTGGGAGCAAGTGGCTACGAAGTTTGCAAACTGGAGGAAAAGAAACTCACTGAATCCTCAACCACTCAAATGTCGGATTCACACGTACAGCTAAAGCCAGGTTGAGTCCGCGCACCAACCCCAACAGCGGGCCGCTGTATTAAGACAAAAACCACGCCGACTGCTTTGTGGTGGAAAGCAAGCCGGGCATTCATCCAAGCCCGATTGCCAGTATCCCTTACTCATAAAACATCATCGTACCTCGCACACATTTTTTCTCCCCTCCTTGTGCAACTGTGGGAAAGCAGAAGAGATGGGGGGGGTGTTTTTATCTCTGAAGCAGGCCCAAAAGGCACGCAGATCCTGTCTGCCAGGGTGCCAGCGCTTCCCCGCGGCTGTCGGGGTGGCGCACCGATTTGGGGGAAACAAACTAAACAAACTTTCCGCCAGTGCCGGCGCTGTGCCTTCCCTGATGGGGCACAGTTCCCTCTTCAAACAGGTTTGCTCATCTCGTTTAAGGCCCTTAGCGCACCAAGCAGGCGGGTTTTAATTAATTTTTTTTTAAAAAAAAAAAGGAGGAAGGCTGATACTTTCCTCCATTGCCAGGAAATTAAGGAAGTGACTACTCCTTTCGGATTCTGCCAGGGGCTGCAAGGTGCCACCCACTCAGCCTGGCTCCATACTTTAAGTCGGGTTGCCTCCCCGGAGTCTGCTGTTTAGGACAACCCACAGATCTGACAGATGGCTGATCCTATCACAGTATCTTGCCTTCGAGGGGAGGCAAAAACAAACAGATTTTCAGGCAGGTTTGTCGGGGATGCCAACGATTAATTCCTTGGAAATAAAAACAGGGGGTTATAAGCCATTATAATAATAAATACAGCCCGGCCCCTATAAATTAAACACCTTCCCTATTTGTCATTCTTTTTAATAATAATAATAATTTTAAAGAAACCGCCGTAAAGACTTTTTTTTTTTTTTTAAAGTGGCCCCCTGCTGAATTATGGAGTGGCAGAAGATGGTTTATTTTTAAATAAAAGCTCAGGTAGAGAATGGTTAGCGTGCGTTGCTTTGTACCTTTAATATATTTTTTTACAAGCTAGTTTTTTCATTTTTCAGTTCAAACAGAGGCCTGAAATGTTCTTTCCAGCCTTTGAAACGTTTTTTTTCCCCTGAAAATTCAAGACTGCACGCAGAGAAATGATAAATTTGATCACACCCACACGCAAAAATCAACTTTTCTAGAGCAAGCACTAGTGTTGAAAGGACAGTGACTTAAATGTTATTCCTACTTGATTCATTCACTGAGCTAAGCCATACTGGTTAGATAATCCCAGTCACCGAGATTTGCAAGCCACAACGCAGAATATGAGCCGAGCCTGAAGAGAGGCGGCTGTTACAATTCAAAATAAACTGTGAGCAAATGTAGCATTATGTATGTTTATACTTTGCTATTTGTTGTTGTAGCCACTGTATGTTTTTAACTTTGTTTGCAAAAACAATCCATGTAAGCCAACTCGGAGCCTGCATATGTGCTCTTAAACCACTTAAACACCTGTGGACTTCAACTCCCAGAATTCCCCAGTCAGCCATGCTTGCTGGCTGGGGAATTCTGGGAGTTGAAGTCCACAAGTCTTGAAGTCACCAAGGTTGGACACCCCTCCTGTAGGTAACTTCAATTGATATAAAAATTGCTGGGAAGCAGCGTTGCTTCATGCTACTGTTGGCCACCTTGGTTGAGGATTAGGCGAGCTATAATCTGAGAGCCAGTTTGATGTTAAGCGGTAAAGGCGTCAGGCTAGAAACCAGGAGATTATGAGTTCTAGTCCCAGCTTGGGTACGAACCCTTCCTGAGAATTTGCAAGCTTGTGAATGCGCTAGGACTTAGAAAAATAATATCTATGGACATTCTCAGTTATCCAGGCCATGGTTGTCCCAATGGTGTTTTTTCAAGAGGCAACTGAAGGCCAGACAAGGAATGATGGATGGAAGCTGAACAAGGAGAGAGATTCAACCTGGAAATAAGGAGGAATTTCCTGACAGTCAGGACAATCGACTTGTGGAACAAAAGTTGCCTTCGGAAATTGTGGGAGCTTCATCCCTGGAGGCTTTCGAGAAGAGACTGGACTGCCATTGGTCAGAAATGGTGTAGGGCAGGGGTCAGCAACCTGCGGCTCTGGAGCCGCATGTGGCTCTTTCACCCCTCTGCTGCTGGCTCCCTGTCACTCAAAATATGCATCACAACCACCAATGTGAGACACTCACCGGCACGCGATTTATTGAGCTTTTCAACCCCCAGTAGGCCAACTATGGATAAATCCAAGAAAAGAAAAGTTTCAGAAGAAAACAGAACGTTTCATTCAACTACATAGGCTAATTTTGTGGCCGCTCAAGAAATAAGTCAGGCACGGGAAGCGTTTTTGTGGCTCCCGGAGTTTTCTTTTCTGTGGGAAACGAGTCCAAATGGCTCTTTGAGTGTTTAAGGTTGCAGACCCCTGGTGTAGGGTCTCCTGCTTGGGAATGGGGGAGGGGCGGGGTTGGACTAGATGACCTACAAGGTCTCTTCTAACTCTGTTAATCTGTTAACTGGACTTTCTGGTTTGTCTTTAAAGATCTTTCGCATCTCATCTGAGAAGCGTCCAGCTGCCTCTTGGAAAAAAAAAACAACACCTTTTGGACTTGAAAAAAATATACTTTTTATATACACATTCGGGGCGCGAGAATTTGTGGTTAAAACTTTATAAAGCGCTGCAGAGAAAGGGATTTCAGCCTTACTAAGAGCCTTGGTGGCGCAGCAGACTAAAGCGCTGTTAAGTAACACCAGCTGCCTGCAATTAGTGCAAGTTCAAATCTCACCAGGCTCAAGCTTGACTCAGCCTTCCATCCTTCCGAGGTAGGTAAAATGAGGACCCGGATTGTGGGGGGCAATAAGCTGACTTTGTATAAAAAAAAGAACACCGCTTAAGGGGGGGGGCGAAAGCCCTACTAAGCAGGTATATACAAAAAGTATGAAGGCTATTGCTCAAGGCATTGTAAGCCGCCCTGAGTCTCCGGAGAAGGGCGGCATATAAATCGAACCAATAGATAGATAGATAGATAGATAGATAGATAGATAGATAGATAGATAATAGATAGATAGATAGATAGATAGATAGATAGATAGATAGATAAATAAATAAATACATACATAAATACAATACATACATACATACATACATACATACATACATACATACATACATACTCATGAGTAGGGAAATACCATAAGGAGAGCCGTGTGTGCCAGCCTGCCCCTTTCAGGGACGCTCTGGCTGTTGATAGGCCTGGAATGTGGCTGAACCGTTTAGGATGGTAGGGAAATTACTCTTTGGGCGAGGAGGAGGTTCCCACGGGTGGTTGGTGAAGCCAAGCGAAGCCAACCCCAAGGTTTCCTGTCGGATAACCATCAACAGGGCCTGGTGGCTCAGCAGACTGATAGCATTGGGATTTAACACCAGCTGCCTGCAATTACTGCAGGTTCGAATCTCGCCAGGCTCAAGGTTGACTCAGCCTTCCATCCTTTCTAAGGTAGGTAAATTGAGGACCCAGTTTGTGGGGGCAATAAGCTGACTTTGTATAAATATACAAAAGGATGAAGGCTATTGCTTAACGCATTGTAAGCCGCCCTGAGTCTCCGGAGAAGGGCGGCATATAAATCAAATAAAAAAAAAATAAAAAAACCTTAGGATCGTGGCGCATCCTGACACCACCGCAAGACTTAAAAAGACTTTGGGGGAAGGAGGGAATTGGGGGGGGCGGGAGAGAAAGAGGCGCTCCCCCGCCGCCAGGGGTTGCTCGGTAGCACCTCCTCCTCTTCCTCCTCCTCCTCCTCCAGCTGCTTCTGCCCTCCGCCCGTGCCTGTCGTTTTTGGGGTTTTTTTTATTATTATTTTTGCACGGGGCGCGCGCGCGCACAGCTACCCGCACGCAGCCCTTGCTGTTCCGCCGACCCCCGTTGCGCCGCGGCCCCCCCCCCCGGGCGAGAAGGGGCGATTCCGAAGCAGCAGCAGCAGCGGCGGCGGCCAGGAGGGAGGGGAGGAAGCGAGGAGGAGGAGGAGGAAGAAGAGGAGGAGGAGGAGGCATGGCCTGGCCATGCCCGGGGAAGCGGCGCTAGGGGAGATCCGAGCGCATCGTTGGCTGCTTGGCTTGGCTTGGCTGCCTCTTCTCCGCCCCTGGAGCCCCGGAGGCAGGGAAGGAAGGAAGGAAGGAAGGAAGGAAGGAAGGAAGGAAGGAAGAGAGACCACCACCGCCGCCGCTGGGAACTGGACAGGCGGGCAAGCGCTGGGCCGTCCCGGGGAGCCAGGAGGCAGAGATGCCCAAGCGGGGTAAGTCACTCACCTCCCCACCCTCCCGGGAGAGATGCGATGCGAGGCCAGGAGGAGGGAGAAAAAAAGTTTGCAAAGGCAGGCAGAGGAGGGGGCGCAGGGGTTCCAGGCCTTCGGCTCCCACCCGGGATCCAAGCAGCCCTTCCTGCCCGACTAACCACCCCCACCCCCATCCACAGACACGGGGCATCCAGCATTGGAGTTAGGATGCCCAGCTGGCTGGACCCCCCATCCCCCACCCCGTGGAAGGTGGAAGGAAGCTGGCTTAAGTCAAGGCACGGGGTGGGGAAGGTTTGGGGTGCTTGGCTCCCTCGTTTGCTAGAACTAGAGGAAGGAGGGAGGGAGAGAGAATGAGAGAGAGAATGAAAGAATAAGAGAGAGAATGAGAGACAGAGAAAGAAAGAGAATGAGAGACAGAAAGAATGAGAAAGAGAATGAGAGAGGGAGAGAGACAGAATGAGAAGAGAGAGAGAGAAAGAGAAAGAGAAAGAATGAGAAAGAGAATGAGAGAGGGAGAGAGACAGAATGAGAGAGAGAGAGAGAGAGAAAAGAGAATGAGAGAGGGAGAGAGACAGAATGAGAGAGAGAGAGAGAAAGAGAGAGAAAGAAAGAATGAGAGAATGAGAGAGAGAGAGAGAGAATGAGAGAGAAAGAATGAGAGACAGAATGAGAGAGAGAATGAGAGAGATTAGATTAGATTAGATTAACAGCGTGAGAGAATGAGAGAGAAAAAGAGAGAAAGAGCCTCCTCGGATGGAGGCAGTATACCTCTTCCAAAAGAGCAGCACATTCGTCTTGGACTCTTGGATTGGGCGCTTGGGTTGTTCCCCGGGGCAGCACGGGGCTTCTCCATCATTTGGGATTGGGGGTGGGGGGTGAGGGGTAAAGGCCAGTTAGGAAAGAGAGAGAAAGAATAGAGAAGTAACTGGGGGGACGGGACGGAGGGTCCCTGGCCCAATTGTGGATGGGGATCGAGCCCTTTTTGGGAGTCGGTGTGGGGAGGTTGCAAGAGGGAGGAGAAAGGGCTGGGGCAGGTTTGCAAAAAAACACCTGGGGCTGTTTCCCAAAAAAAAAAAAAACGAGGTTGGGAGAAATCCTTGGGCGAATTTCAAGAAAAAGTGATTCACCTCCTGCTTGGAAGAAGAAAGGGGGAAAAAAAAAAGAACCCCAAAACTTTCTTCTGATTGGGAGGAATTCGATTGGAGGAGAAGGGGGGGGGAACCGGGGTGCCTCCAGAATTCTTGGCAATAACATACCATATTTTTTCTCTCTCTTTCCTGGCAATAACATCACTTTTTTTCCCCTCCTTTGCTTTCTTGGCAATAACATATTACTCCACCTAATTTAGCATATAGGGAAAACAAAAGTGTCTTAAATTGGGGGGGGGGGAGGAGGGGGAGGGAAACTAAACTCCGTTTTAGGGTGGTCACTTTTGGGAAGGAGATGTGGGGTTTTTTGGACTTCCGTGAAAAGAATGGGCTGGGGTGAGGATTCGGGGAGCTTGCGTGACACAACATAGGGAAGTGTGTAAAAAGGTATTTTTAGGAGTTCCTTACCAAATGCTGCCAAAAGGGGAAATCTGCACAAACCAGAGAATTGAGAATGCTAGAGAACTTCAGTGTTTATCCTTTTGGGGACATTTTGCTAGAAGTAACCTGAAGTTTTTGACATCTTCCCCCGGCATGAATTAAAATAACTATTGTTTTTAACCAAGAAGGCTCCTCTTCTAGTTGCAACAGGTCTTTTCATTTGCAAGCTTGTTCTAGTAGGGCCTGCCAAGCCACGTTTCTCTCCTAATCCTGGGCCGTCTGGAGAAAGCTGGTCTCGGAAGCCTGCCCCAAGATCCGGAGAAACTTAAGTTGGGTTATGTCTAGTCTGTTCAAATGAAGGACTAGGGGAGACATGATAGCAGTCTTCCAATATCTCAGGGGCTGCCCCAAAGAAGAGGGAGTCAAGCTATTCTCCAAAGCCCCTGAGGGCAGGACAAGAAGCAACGGGTGGAAACTCATCAAGGAGAGAAGCAACCTGGAATTAAGGAGAAATTTCCTAAGAATTGAGAACAATTAACCAGTGGAGCTGTGGATGTTCCATCATTGGAGATTATTAAGATTACACGTTTATTCAGCTGAACAAAGACGGGCCCCCTTTTAAAGAAAAGGAAGCCCAGAATGGCTAGAAATCCTTATATTTATACTGTTCGATTATGTAAGCAAACCACCTGGCAAAGCTGGCGCGCACATTTCCTGCTCCAAGGTCCCTTCCCAACTCTGGCATTCTGTTCAGTTTCTTTGGTAGATTTACTTTTTATCCTTTAGGGCCCCCCCCTCCCCAAAAGTGATGCAGTTGTGATGTATATGACATCCAATCTTTATGCAATCATTATGTATATTGTATGTGGTGTATATTCTATTAATATAGCGGCTTTGTGTCCACGCACAGCCGGATTTGTGGTTATTGTGCAACCTTGTTCTTAAGTAATCAAAGGTGTTGCTATCAAAGGTTTTGATGACTATCTCTTGTAACATTAATGCTTCGATTGTCTGTTGTGGCTGCAAGAGTCTTTTGTTTTGACTTGGCTAATCCAATCCACGCTGGTTTGGGCCAAAGAACGGGTCCATTTCATAGAACTGGAATTGGTGGTTGGGCGACAACCGCCAGCGGCATGCTGGGAGATGTAGTCCAACCACAGTGGGAAAACTCCGGGTTTTTAAGATTTTTATCCTTAAGGATGGCTGGGGTCATATTAGGAAGAGGTGGCACCTTTAGCATGCAAAGCAGGTGGGATCCCCAAGAGACGATCATGCTTCCCATTAAGATTATAAAAAAATGGCTGTTATTTATACCCCTGCTTTTCCACCATAGCGGTTTTAAGGCCAGCCACTGAGCACAGATAAATTTAAAAACAATTACACTCCCTCTTTTTGCAGAGCAGCTTTCCAGTGTGCTGAAGGTCAAAATTGTTCCACTCGGAGACGAGACGGGCTTTCGCACTCGGGGCCATCCAGCTTGGGGGGGTGGGGGGAAGGGAACTGAATTTGGCATTCTGCTGATCAGAAGGGTTTTTAATCTCACTTCCCTACCCAGAATTCCCTACGGTGTTGTGGTGATTGGTCCTGGAGCATCACAAATGCTGTTTCATAATGTCAGCAACATTTAGCAGGGTGGATTTCAACTCCCAGAATTCCCCAGCCAGCATGCTTTAAGTCGGGTGGACTCAATTCCCAGAATTCCCCAGCCAGCATGCTTTAAGTCGGGTGGACCTCAATTTCCCAGAATTCCCCAGCCAGCCTGCTTTAAATTGGGTGGACTTCAATTCCCAGAATTCCCCAGCCAGCATGCTTTAAGATGGGTGGACCTCAATTTCCCAGAATTCCACAGCCAGCATGCTTTAAGTCGGGTGGACTTCAATTCCCAGAATTCCCCAGCCAGCATGCTTTAAGTCGGGTGGACCTCAACTCCCAGAATTCCCCAGCCAGCATGCTTTAAGTCGGGTGGACTTCAATTCCCAGAATTCCCCAGCCAGCATGCTTTAAGTCGGGTGGACTTCAGTTCCCAGAATTCCCCAGCCAGCATGCTTTAAGTCGGGTGGACTTCAATTCCCAGAATTCCCCAGCCAGCATGCTTTAAGTCGGGTGGACCTCAACTCCCAGAATTCCCCAGCCAGCATGCTTTAAGTCGGGTGGACTTCAATTCCCAGAATTCCCCAGCCAGCATGCTTTAAGACGGGTGGACTTCAATTCCCAGAATTCCCCAGCCAGCATGCTTTAAGTCGGGTGGACTTCAGTTGCCAGAATTCCCCAGCCAGCCATGCTTTAAGTCGGGTGGACTTCAACTCCCAGAATTCCCCAGCCAGACATGCTGGCTGGGGAATTCTGGGAGTTGAAGTCCACCCTGCTGAAAGTTGCTGACACTGATTCGGTAGATAACAAGTAGTGGAAAATTGATGTTGGCTCCCATCTGGTGCACATTAGCTCATATCTGCTAATTCTCTTCTTTCCAAATTGATTCAAGCTTTTAAAATAAGCTCCTTGCTGGGATAAATCCTCCAGGGTCCACGACAGGTATAGGCTATAGTTCCTGGTGCAAACCTTCCCCAGTTAGTAGGATGCCACGTTCACACATCCTGCTCAGCCATGATGTGGCTTAATATGCTGCCTGCCCCTCCAGGCAGGGTGCTTTGTGAATTAAGTCTGATGCTCAGTCGCTCAGCCCCAGCTCATGGTTCCTTAAGACAAGCCGTACTTAAGCAAACCACGATATCTGGCCGAGGGTAAGTCAGGTCACTTTGCATTACAATGAAAGGAAACAGCAACAGCCCAGTTCAAGGTTGGTGGCTCTACAGGGAGTCCTCGACTTACGACCACGATTGAGGCCCCAAAATCTTCGCATGGCTAAGCGAGACAGTGGTTCAGTGCGTTTTGCCCCATTTTACGACTTTGCTTGCCACTGTTGATAAGGGAATCACCGCAGATTCTTAAGTGAATCTGGCCTTCCCCTTTTCTGCCCGTTTTTTTTAAAATCAATTTTTATTGATTTGTATCTCGCCTTTTGCTATTTTTACAGAGAATTCAAGGTGGTGAGCATATCCGAGACGCCTTCCTCCTTCTCCTATTTTCCCCACAACAACCCTGTGAGGTGGGTTGGGCCGAGAGAGGGAGGGGCTGGCCTAAGATCACCCAGCTGGCTAAGGCAGGCCTAGAATTCCCAGTCTCCCAGTTCATTTTCTCCCCCTTCCCAGTTTACCAATTGGGAGGGGGGCTGTGGACAGCATGATGAATTATTAGCCAGATTAAAGACCCTAGCAGAGATTTTGTTGAGGGAGGATAGATTGAAGAAATTCAGCTCGGGAGAACCTTTGCTTCGCTTCCCTAGCATTGCTAAATTACTCCTTTGAGCATTGAAGCAGGCTGGATTTTGCCAGCCTGTTTTCTGCGAGCTATTTATTTATTTGGGGGTGTTGTAAACAGGATTCTCAGAAAGCCAAACTATACTTCGCTCTG